AGCCTTTGGCTGAGGTCGATACCTGGATTTATAGACCCGAGAAAAGATATAATGACCGAGGACGCAGTCAGAGGTCAATATATCTTTTCTCAGGTTGATAAATCCAGGTATTGACCGAAGTTGAAGGCTACAATTGTTTTATTATTTTACAAAACAGTAATGTAAGCAATCTGAAAAAAACCAAAAACAACTTCGGAAGTGGGACGGTGCATTGTTTGGAGACACGTCATAATTCTATTTTTATAAACACCCAGTCCTTCAACAAAAATCACGCGCTCCAAGTCAATATCGGTTTTTATCGGTGGACACGTGATGCACTTCTGGCCAGTCACTTGTCGGGAATAATATGAAAAAATAATAAGACCTAAGATTGAACTGAGAAAGCAGAAATTCAGAAAAATGTTTTGAATGACCAATTTTGACTATTTGTTGTCAAATTAAAAAAAACAAAAAACAGTAAATACAACAATCCATGAATTGGAAACTATAACTCTCCTGAAAAGAAGCAATTTTATGGGATAGCATAGCTTCAACATATTATACTGGTACACCAAATGTTCTGACGAATTGCCTAACTTATGCTGTATGTCCCCTTAAACCACCTAGTTTAGCTAAACAGTCATACTCTACTATAAACCATATCATCCACCTTGATAGTGTATTGGAATGATTTTAGGTTAATTATGAAATAATTGCATTGATCTGTAGTTATTGAAGATTTATTTTGACATTGGTCATACAACATATTATCCTTAAGATGACACATTTACCGACTACCGATTTTTTCGAAATTTCTACTATCGTCAGTCAGCATAATGTGCCAAATAATATCCAAAGTATGTTGGTGTACAAAAACCGGAAATATGTCTATCACTTCCGTAAAGATGCGAAACAACTAAAAATGTACATAACATACTAAACTTTTATGTGTGTGAGACTGCATAACTTTTTTATTTTGCAACATCTAGCTTTATAGTTGGGCTCATCATGAGCAGCAGACCTTATTGATGAAAATTTGATCAGTTGCGATAATAAATTGGTGCGACGTATTGTTAAATTATCAAACATGACTATAGGTCATAAGGTTGTTGGATTTTATTTGGAAATAGACGTTGCTACAATTTGACATTTATATGACAAATTTACCGGTTCTCAAATTTTCTGAAATTTTCACTATCGTATCTCAACATAATGCACCAAATAATATTAAAAGATTTTTGGTGTACAAGAACCGGAAATTGGTGTTTTACTTCCGTAAAACAATTGATGTAGCAAAAAAGTGTATAAAAATACCAACATTTTTAGAGTTTAAGATTTTATAACTTTTTTATTATGCAATGTTTTGTTACATATTTGAGTTCATAATTTGCAGCAGATCCTATTTTAAATAATATAATATTATTTGGTAGCGTAAAACATTGTTTTGATAGTTTTTTGGACAAAAAAGTGAACCCTGTCGTACACCTTTGGAAGGCGGCACTAAATAGTTCATAGCACAGGCCCTGGGGATCTTTTTAATTTTTAAAAAATATCTCATGGGTCGTGTCTTAGGGAGCTACAAATATAACCCAGTACTGGTTAAATTGCTTTGTGGGCAAAATTCTTTTGTTCCTGTAACAGGTCCTTTATAATGAACTTTTTGTGAAAATCCACTTTTTTGAGAAATTTGGTAACTTTCACAAATTCATCTCAATACAACTATAATTTCCAAAAAAAACACATAATTGAAACCTCACAACCATGAAACAGTATATCAGTAATCATTATAATAAGAAATAATTGTTATACACCTTCTACATTTTAGTAAAATTTTAGCACGTGTAATTACCTTGTGCTGTGTGCAACCGCATCGACATTCATTTCGTCAACATTGACAGATTCGTTGTTACCTAGTCCAGTGGCAGTCTCGCTCGGTTGACACGTGGAACAGTAGTCATGTTCAAGGAGTATGATGTCTGTCAGTTCTTCTGATGTTTTCCTCATTCGCCAGTTTTGCAAATTATCTAATGACTTGCTTCGTTGCTTTGGATGCGTTGACTTAATTCTTCCTCGTCTTGGAAATGTGTTTTCGTTGTCAACCATCGTGCTTATTTATAGCGGAAATAGCGTAGCGAACATGGTACAACATGTGCAAAAGATTTCCAATCAAGGAGCGCAACTCCGTTCAACAGAGGAGCTCTTTTATTTGAAGGTAGGATTCACAAACTGCATTATAATCGATGAAACGGTCCGGAAACTCTCACCCGCGTATTGCCTTAATATAAATTGTTTTTATAATTGTTGCCAGATGTATTATAAAGTTTATATTTTCAATTACATCATTAAATAATTTATAACCTTACATAAATTCATTCGGATTTTCATGTACATTTTGTATTTATAGAAGAACGCCGAGAATCGAGATAGTTGACGTTTTTGCATTGTGATTTACATAGTCTCGTTCAAACTACGCTGGTTGAGCGAGACTATGATTTACACAGCACAACGAATGTATGAGGTCAACACACGTTAACTTACAGTTCTCTCAATCAGTTGAGAAAAAACACTTCATTAGATATTGGAAAGTGTACAATGGCGTCTGAGCTATTATAACTACTACAATCTTCTAATCAGACACCGTATCGGCCGGAAGCAGCAGCCATCATAATTTAAGTTAAGTGACGCAAAAAACTTTACTACAAACAGATTATCCCCAAACAAAGAAATAATGCCATCAGAGTCGTATCAAGTACCAGCCTTGATATACTGTAATTAGTGATTATATTTCTTAACCTGTTTGATGCAGCTGGAGGAGAGGAAAATGGCAGGGTGAGAGGGATAGAGGAATGGGGGGAGGGGGAGTGGGGGAGGGAGAGGAATAGAGAAACGGNGATAGAAAAATGGGGGGAGGGAGAGGGATGAAAAAGGGGAGAGAGGGGAGGGGAGGGAGAGGGGTGAGAAATAAAAGGGGAGGGAAGGGGAGTAAAGGGTGGGAGAGAAGGTGGGGAGGGGAGTGGAGAGAGATTGGGTGAAGGCTCCAGGTCAGACCAGTGAATTTTCAACTATCGATGCACGTTTTATTGATTTGCACAAAAAACACAGTCTCTGCTTAAACATTAATTTTACTGACATTTAGTGGTATTGTGTAGTGTCAGTCATCCAGATATCATACTTCGATATACAATAGTCGATATATCGCGACAATGTCAAATCGATATGTCACTGTATCGCGATAATTTCAATTCAATATATAGAAGACTTACAATAATTCCAAATCGATATATCGCGATAATATCAATTAAATATATCAAAGTATTGCAATAATACCAGGTCGATATATCTATCGCGATCATTTCAAGTAAATACATACATATATGTATATTGCGCTATTTTAAAACGATGAATCGCAAAAAAAATCAAATCGATTTATTGAAGTATCGCGATAATTCAAGTAGATTTATTGATATTGAATTAACATTTTATTTATATCACATCTACAACAATTACTCCACATTTAATACCGATATAATCACGAAGTTACTGTGTCGGTATTTGATATCTATCTATGCTGTGGCGCAGCTGGAGTAACCGACACACGATACTTTATTGATAATTTCAGATATGTTTATCTACGTAGTTCCTGTAATCCATATGAAAAACAATGTTAAGCCTGTAAGGCAAGTCTGAGATTTGTATTTGTAAACCATGTAATTATATCGCTGCAGTGTGTTACAGTGCTTACGGTATACATTCATACATTTGATGTTAGTATATAAATATACTGCTGGCTTTTGTTTAATTATACGTTATACTACGCTTTCCATGATGTAGAAATTAAAACAAATTGATAAAAAAAAAACAATCTTTACATGATAAATAATTGATGATATGATCTTTAAAAATTATGCTAACAAAGTTCAAAAGGCTAAAAAAAAGATTCAAAACAAATTTTCCGACGAGAAAACCATAATCTCAGTAAGGGGACATAACTCTACACTAAGGGGACATAACCTCAAAGTAAGGGGACGTTACTCTGGTAGGCAAGACAAAGGCTTCGATTACCGAAGACGTTTCCTGTCACTAATAAACAACAAACAGCAACAAAGTACGTAATGTTCAATAACGTCATATTTATGTTCACTGGTAAAGGGTTTAAAGTCCACCTCAAAATGACAAAATTTAAATACAAAATATCGGTGTATCGAATACTTAAATTCATGAACATGTTTGAAAATGCGGCAAAGTTATGTATATATATATATAAGATAATTCCATTTTATGAATTAATTTCCAGTCAGTCGCGAGATGAAAAGCAAAATATACTTTCACAAATGTTACTTAAGAAAGTAATTCAATTTTAGTGGGGTGTTTTCTTCGATATTTTTATATGTGTGTCAAAAACATATTTGAACTTCATGCTACAGATAGAAAAAGTAATGAAAATTACTAACGTTAAGGATTTTTAAAATAAGCGTGACCTTATCATAAAATATTTTACTTAAGTTTTTCTACATGTCCTGTAAAATATTAAACTATGTATTTCCAAATTCACGAAAGTTTCAATTCAGGCATTTCACGATCCTCAAAATGCGCGGTTCCTTACCGTAAAATAGTAAACAGTTGTTTATCATATACATGTACATTAACTTTTAATCTAGACCTTGATAATTTCGCCTGAAATAATTTTCCTGCAAAATATGAAAGTCTTTCAAAATTATTTACTTTAAAGCTATAACTTTAAAAACAAAATCTTTATCGGAAAATATTAAATTCTGTTTTTCCACATTCACTAATTATAAATCAATGGCTTTCAACGTTTACAAGGACTTACCGTACAATATTACATATAAGTAGTATGCGTAAATTCTTATAATCTAATTAAAAATACCAGACACGTGTAAATAAAGCTAGGATATATAGCTCTGACCAACAAGAGTGTCAACAGGGCATATAAGGACCAATGAACAGTCATACCTCTGTCTATTGTGTTTGTGAGGGAGTGTGCGTACTACGTCACCTCCCCTCCCCTTCAAATGGAAGATTCCATTCTGCTACCTGTCTATTCAGAGTTGACAATAGCTCTATGTTTGTCGCACTGTTAACGAAGGAACCGTCTGCCTACCGTGAAAACCCGATATTACCTGTAAAATCTACCTGTGTGTGTGTATAAACTCACCTGGACAGGTATTCACGAACACTCAGGTACGGGAGTCGCCGGGCGGTAACAATTAGTAGTAACACATGTTTGGAGACTTAAGAACTGGAGGTGTCTCCGAATAAGATTTTTTTCGAACGTGTATAACACACGGGGGCGATATCTACCTGGACTTTCCTTCCTATATATATAACACGTGTGATTAGTTTTTCGGCTATTTGGTAAAGATCGGTACTGGTGACCAGGTATTTCGACCGGCGAGGTGAACATGACATAAGTGTACCGGTAATATTACTCGCGGAGAATCATACTATCGTACATAATATCTGGAATTATAACGGATCGGGAACGTTTTGTAATTAGAAAATTGTGACATTTTAAAATACTAAGGAAAATCATCAGTGATATAAGCTCGCACTAACTGTGATCAATTATCACCTGGACGAAATCAAACACCTCTAATTAGCGCTACCACCTGTGGACGAAACGTCACCTGTCATTTTTGAAATATTTAAATTTCAGTTATTTTAAATTATCTAAAAAGTCGTGGGTATTTTTTCGTCTGGAGGAAGAATTCTGTTTGTGCTATTTACCTGGAGTCGTAAATTAACACTGTTTGGATACAATGGCAAAATTCAAGGGATTTTCTGCTGTCGGGATAAAATCGATGACTCGATGTTTACTGCCGACATTAATACTGGCGTTTCTACTACCCGTGACGATATCAGGTAAGTCTCAACGGTTTTTCAGCCTTTTTATTTGCCATAGCATCAACGAATCCTTACGCAATCAGAATATCGGACAACTTGGCAAAATACAATATTTGTGAAAGTATCATCTGATCAGCAGAAGGTACCTGCTTTGTTTGAAATGCTATATTTTTTTCACTTCCCCATCAATATAAAAGTATCATCTAATCTCATGTTTACTAGGTGACATTTCAAAATGTTATACCTTTAGATAAACTAAAGAATGATAGAACATTAAAAATGAAAACAATAAAATCAAATGATTTTCACTACGTCAAGCTGACTATGCTTTAGATACTTTGATCGGCCTTCTGGGAGTTTCCAGTGCTATATAAAGCAGTGTATGAACTTGAGGTTGAGATGACACAGACTTAAACCTGTATATACCGGTCACCTTTATATAACGACAGGTTGCCCCGTCGCTTGGTGCGGCATGGTGCAATCGAGCCTCATCTTGAATCGATTTGACAACCGTCGTTGCATAAAGGTAGTCATTATAAAAAATAATGTCGGCCAGGAGAGTTTTTAATAAAGATAAGCAAAGAAACCCAATAGCAGTGTCTACCAAAAATGGTGTCATTTGGGTAGGTAAATGAGAAAAATAACAGACATGGGTTAAAGTAACTTGATAATGTATCAATTGTCCCCTTGTTTGGAAATCATCCGTCACCATACCAGAAATATTGAATGCACGAGTACAGTGCACAGGGGCTTGGAAATAAAATATTTTGAATCATGCATGATTTCTTACTGATCAGTGACTGTATTGGTTCCACCGTCCCTATGCAGTATCTTTGTAAACACATGGAACCAAGGTGTTCTTATTTATCATCATCTGTATCTGTGTATCTCTCTAGTGTTCCGTAGTCTCAGGTGTACCATAGATTTTATCATCGACGACTGCCGTTTGATATTCCTATACAATCAATAATAGACCTATCCGGAACAAGTCCCCAGGGATGGTCACACAGATAATCGGTTCGGATGGTTTGTACGTGAAATGATGGTCCATATCCTGTCTTCATCCGTTGGGTTGGGTGGAGGTAAGGGTGGCGGAATGAGAGATGGAATGACGGAGGCAGAACGAGACGAGGTTGGGGTTAAATGAGAGAGGGAATTAGAAAGATGGAATGAGTGAGGGGATGAGGGTGAAGGTATGAGAGAGGACAGAGAGGAGGGATCAAAAAGGAATATAACGGAGGCAGGATGAGAGAGGGGTTGAGGAAGGTATAATTGGAGAGGGGGGTAGAGAGAGGGAATGATAGAGGTGTAGGGCATCGATTGGGGAGAGAGTGGGAATGAGAGGGGGTAGAGAGAGGGTAAAGAGGGGTAGAGAGAGGTAGAGAGGGAATGAGAGGGGGTGGGTAGAGAGGGTTTGAGGAAGGTATAATTGGAGAGGGGGTAGCGAGAGGGAATGAGAATGGCACGAGAGAGGGTAGAGAGGGGTAGAGAGGGATTGAGGAAGGTATAGCTGGAGAGGGGGTAGAGAGAGGGAATGAGAGGGTGGAGAGAGGGGTAGAGAGGGTTGAGGGAGGTATAATTGGAGAGGGGGTAGAGAGAGGGAATGAGAGGGTGGAGAGAGGGGTAGAGAGGGTTGAGGGAGGTATAATTGGAGAGGGGGTAGAGAGAGGGAATGAGAGGGTGGAGAGAGGGGTAGAGAGGGTTGAGGGAGGTATAATTGGAGAGGGGGTAGAGAGAGGGAATGAGAGGGTGGAGAGAGGGGTAGAGAGGGTTGAGGGAGGTATAATTGGAGAGGGGGTAGAGAGAGGGAATGAGAGGGTGGAGAGAGGGGTAGAGAGGGTTGAGGGAGGTATAATTGGAGAGGGGGTAGAGAGAGGGAATGAGAGGGTGGAGAGAGGGGTAGAGAGGGTTGAGGGAGGTATAATTGGAGAGGGGGTAGAGAGAGGGAATGAGAGGGTGGAGAGAGGGGTAGAGAGGGTTGAGGGAGGTATAATTGGAGAGGGGGTAGAGAGAGGGAATGAGAGGGTGGAGAGAGGGGTAGAGAGGGTTGAGGGAGGTATAATTGGAGAGGGGGTAGAGAGAGGGAATGAGAGGGTGGAGAGAGGGGTAGAGAGGGTTGAGGGAGGTATAATTGGAGAGGGGGTAGAGAGAGGGAATGAGAGGGTGGAGAGAGGGGTAGAGAGNGTGTATTTTCATTACCACGTGGCGAATTTTCTGCATAAGTATCAGTAAGGGGCTCGCGACTCTCGACCGTCTCACATTTACTTAGCCTTATTTATACCGAATTCACATGCATGTAACATTTACGTTTGTAATCTAAGGTACTTGGAAACCATCTTTCCTATCCCGAGTCTTTTAACAAAAACAACTATGCGAAAATCATTGTGTAAATGTAGTTTAAAAAGAGGGATAAAACAAATCAATAAGCAGCATATATATATAAGTAATCACGTGACGTATTAAATTACTTAGAATCTGAAATTTATTTAATTTGTATAGGTTTTAAAAAGCTTACTTCAAATAACGTTGTTTAATTTCGTCACACCTGAAAAATTCACACCTGCACAGACGACTGATAGGGTCATACTTTTAAAGATGGATTATCAGATATGTGTCGTCAGCTTCATTAAAAACCTACGTAAAAAGTTTGAAATTCACTCTTGCGTGTCAGCGACGTTGAATCATCGCGATATGTAGACCTATACATAGATGTATATAACAATGTACGTAAGTCATAGAGGAAATGGATTACGTGGTTTTATATTTATCGTAATTTGTTACAACGGTGGCCTACTCACCAACAACACAAATATGTTCATCCAAAAATAGACAATACAATGGTGAAATTGATTAGATATTATCGTACGTACGTGTCGCATGCAGAGTGCAGAGACAATACATCATACGTTGTACAAAACACACGACAGACGCTAGACTAAACTGACAGCACCCACTGACACATATACACGTAACACAGGGGCAAGACACAGACTAACCCCGAACCCATAAATTCTTATAAAATAGTCACTATATAAGCATATAGGGGGTGGGGATTTGTCTGTGCCTAGCCCCTGTGAATTGTTACGATATGTATTCTGGAAAAACATTTGAGGAATACCCTCCCAACAACCACACACACACACACACTTTAGACTTGGGTTTATATACGCTTTATTTTCAGTGAGATATAGCACTATAAAGTTGGCATCAGTTTTGCGCTATCCCAAGGAGACAAACAACACACGTCGTCCTTAAATGACCATAGCTGTTGATAGGACGTTAAACAATACGAAACCAAACCAAACCAAACGCTTTATTTGACTACAGTTTCGGTGCGAATGGTAGACCACAGGGGGTTTTAATGTGGGAGGAAACCGGAGTACCCGGAGAAAACCCATGCGATCGGGCATATGACCCATACACAATGTACCTTTCACGTCCTAACCCCGGCCGTTTTGGTGGTAGGCGGGTGCGCTATTCATTGCGCCACCTGGCCTCCCAGGCTTAAGTTTTTATTGTCAAAATCAACACTATCTATACTATATTTGCCGAATTTGTATTCCAAAACTTAGTCACATACACGTATCTTCCTACGTTGGTCCAACGCTCACATATCCCATAGTCCGTACACCCCACGATCCGTGGGTGGGAGTCCAGATTTGTCATAGGGTAGGGCTGTTTAGCACTAGGGTATTGCGCAGTTGGGGTGTGGCACATCTGATACCGGTAAAAAAAAAACACCGGTAATGCCAATAAGGTAAGGTCCATTTGTATGAGAAATACCGGCTATTCATTATCCGTATTTAAATCCGTAATCCATAGATTATTCATGTGTCACACGTATTGTTATAAGTATATAGGTAAGTCCACCCAACCGGGGTCACTGTTAACGTCTTAAATAGAAGCAGGTCATTACTTATTCTTAAAAGTGTGACCAGCTTTACATTACCAAACGCAAAACAGATTTTTTTTTAAATTCTCGAAAGATATTTAACAAAATCATTACTAAAAACCTACACTGGTTTTGATTTTAAATTCATCCTCTAGAGAAGAAATGAAATTATGTCGGAGACTTTGAGAAAGATTGAATTTAAAAATCTTGTTTAAAACTGTGTTTCTTTTGGTTAAGCTGACAAATCATGGTGTATTTTGACAAAACGTAAAAATTCCGTTCCGGATATGTGCGGGTATTCACACGTTCTGCCGTTCCTCGTATTTGTATGCAAATTAGATTGCGACCGCTGCATATGTTAATATGATCGGTATTTAAAGGGCACGTTAAGTCATTAAACTGTGAACTACCACATGTGTACGTAATCGAACATAGATCATTGATATGTTACGTTTCATCGTTTATTTCATGTATTTCATATAACACAGGGCTTGGCAAATTCGCCATGGATCTCTGACATGGGATTATAAAATTATGTAACGATAATGTTTTATGTTTCGTGATCGAAGAAGGAACATTGCTACGTAAATATGTTTAAAATGATATGCATACTTAATGTAATTGCCATTGTTCTTCCTGTATGCATCGTTTTTTGTTTAATATCATTTTGAGCGTTAACATCCTCGCATGTCAAATGAAGATGGATGGGACACATGTACAGGGACCTGATAATTTGCTACTTGGGAATGTTAACCCTTAAAACGTCTGATATTACCCTGTTTTCATCAGATTAGGCGCAGACATACCATACCGTCTGAAACAAATTCTCAGGTCCCTGTGCCTATAGGGAGACACGGCCGAAGGGAATGATGATAGGTAGGGAGGACAAAATATATAGATCCCAGTTGTTGCTCTGATGGCAGCCGGAGTTTGCAAGGTCGAACATTTTGTGTGAAACTTCACAAATTCACATATCGTCTGAGCTAAATATCCGGATTATTCAAAAACTGAATATTTTAGACATTTAATGGGTTTTTTTTTTGTGAAATTGAAGCATGCGTCATACGCATTTCAGGTATATATGAGACTTAGAGCCTATATACATTGGGGTATGGACATCCGGTAT